AGGAATAATCAAAAACAAGTAAAACTTGTGGGTTATGATAAGAGCAGTTTAATAATTGAAACAAAAATAAAATAATAATAGTAATAATGTAATTGTAATGAAAAGGAAGATAACAAAAAGAGAGTAAAATAAAACCCAAGGAAAACAAGTGATGCACAATGCAATTGCTCACCACCCACTAACCAGTGCTCAGCCAGTCCCTGAGCAGCCATCAACCCCTCCCAACCAACTCCCCCCAGTTTATATACCAGGCATGACATCATGTGGTATGGAATATCCCTTTGGCCAGTTTCAGTCAGCTGTCCTGGCTGTGTCTCTTCCCAACTTTTTGTGCCCCTCCAGCCGTCTTGCCGGCAGGGCATGAGAAGCTAAAAAATCCTTGACTTAGTATAAACATTACTTAGCAACAACTAAAAACATCTGTGTGTTTTCAACATTATTCTCATCCTAAATCCAAAACACAGCACTGTACCAGCTACTAATAGGAAGAAAATTAACTCTATCCCAGCCGAAACCAGGGCAGGATGTAGCAAGAGAATTAAACTAAGCAGACTGCCAAAATGAGCAGGATTGTCTATGAGCAGGATACAGTTTCGAATAATTAGGCATATGAGACCTTTAAAACTTCATTAACTGTTTCATTTTTGAACCCCTTGGATTTATTTGTACTTTGTTAGGGCAAATGCTAGCTTTCTGTAGGCAGGAGTCATCTCAGTAACAGCACATTCCTAGCTCAATAGGAGGGATGCTGAGCTTTACAGAGCGACAGCACAAAATAATTCTACACAGTAGAAATATAAACCAAGAGCTTGAGTCAATCTTATTTATTCAGGGAATGCAGGCTGACCTATGTACAAGCATAGACCCCCAAAAAAATCCCTTTTCATACGAAACTAGGAAAGGAGCATAGCCAGCAATACTCCCTCTCTGCTACTCATTGAACAATCTGTCTATTTAGGGTACTGCTGATTCTGCCAAGAACTGTCACCTAATTCCACAGAAATCAAGGACAATTTTAATGGTTTTTAAAGATAATTACACAGGTTGGACTTTGATCTTTGCTGGGGGAATTGTGCAATTCAAGACAGCTGTACTCTGACTATATGGCTGCAGTCATTTCCCCTCCCAGAGAGAGAAAATTTCTCTGGCTCCAAGATAAATTATTTCCCTTTAAAATAACTTTTGTTACTACTAAGAAACACCTGTTGAACAAAGTGGGGAAATCCTAAACAAAAAAGGTGCAGACAGGTAATTCAGAGATACTGGAGATGCCTTTACCAAGCAGTGAGAAAAGCAAATTAGTATTAGTAGGTCTGTGCTGACACTCAGACCTGGTTCAGTGTTTCTCACTTTGGGTACCAAAGTACCTGTTCTTTTAAACTGATGGCAAATTGCTTATAATGTCTGTGTATCACCTTCAACAGCATAGCAATATCCTGCACATTCTAAGCACAGTGTAATTTTCTTCCTTACACAAATCGCCAATTCCTTGCAACAGACTGTGGCATTGTCAACATTCTTATGCCCCAAATACCATGTATTTGTTATAGCATTTATACTACCATGCTACTTCAAGTTGGCATTCCAGCTCCAGATAAACCTGGACTACTACTCAGGTTCAAAAATCTAGAAATAGCATATTATTTTAGTACTTATTTATCTGCTTTTATTTCATCTTTTCTTTCCATCTCCTTCTATTTTAACCTTTACAGTAATAGGCTTGTGGATCTATGAGTCAGTAAGCACAGAAGCCCTCCCCTGATTAAAGGAGTGCTAAATTCAGTAATGCATCCATGTGATTTCTTAGACTGGTGCATGGGTACATTTTCCATCTTGAAGCAAAGACTCCATTTTAGCTGCTGCACTAACAGCGACCCCAGATCATGACACTACATAAAGAGAGCCTAAACAATGAGTCCAGGCTGACTCTGAACTTTAAAATGCAGCTTTAATTTATAGTAAATCCAAATTGACATTCTTTCCACCTTTATTCTAATTCACAGTTCACCTCACCCAAAAAGAGATCAACCATGCTAGTGTCACTGCAAACCGGGATAAAAACTTATCGACATCAATTTGATGCAGATAAGCAGACACTTCTTTATTGACGGCCAGACATGTAGGGGAGTATTCTCACCAACAACACGTACCAGACACCAGAATCATACACCTTATATAGAATTTACTTATACATATTCATTAAGTATTCATACATAATCATCCAATTTCCAAGAAATCATTAACATACTCTCCTCCCATTTCCGATTTTGTGCAATAGAGGTTAGAAACATCTAGAAATGGGTCTGGGGTGTACTGTGAGTAGGTGGTCCATGAGTCAGTGGTGGCGATCTCCCCCTGCTGGAATTACCTTTTGCTTAAGGACACGGTTTTCTTGACAGGTACTTGCAAGCTGTTTCGGTTACTTCCCTCAGTTCCCATTAATCCTGGACCTTGACAACTACTTGCATTCATCTAGTCCTATATATGTATTATAAACCAGCTTACAAATCATCTTATGTTTTGGTTACCTAGGCTCTTAACTGTTTCTACTAGATAATTACGGCCAATCCCTTTGGCCTTGGTACGGGGCTGTACAGGGAATGCTTAGAGTAGCAGCTGGTTGTTAGGTTCAAAATACAATAAATGTAAAATGATTTTTACTGGAATATCTCTTAACTCTATAGTTAAAATCAAAACACAATTAAACACACTTTAATTTCAGTTGATAATAAAATCAGTAACACTAGTAGCCATACTTCACTCTGTTCTCAGGTATCCAGCTCCACTCTGATTGCTCAAGATCCCACCCCTCTCACGGGTGAATATAATTTAGGTTTACTACTCCTGCTCCACAGCCCTTTATTAAGTCTCTTCTTGTTTAGGTTGTGCTGGGGAGCACTTCGGCACTGATCTCCTCAGGCTGGTTTGGCAGAAGAAAAGAGGCAGAGGTAGCTAGGAAGGTCTGGAGGCTCCTTGCTTTCTGAAGCTCGCCCCCTCATTAGCTTTCCACAGCAGTCCCATTGCATTGCACAGGCATCCTCAGCTTTTCCCTCTATGTGGCACTGAACTGTCCCTTACAAAAATATCCACTTGTCACTAAACCAGTGTCCTTCTTTCCTGCCATACTGCACCTCAGAGATAAGCTATCGCAAAATAAATCACTCCTCCTACAATAATTCTTCATGTCAACAAATTCCTATGTGAAAATTTCCACATTTCCCCTGAGATGCTAATAAACCCTATAGGGGAACAAAAAGATGCTAGGTCCACGATAACCAAAATACTCCAGTGGTTGGTGCAGAGTTAGCATGAATATGTGGTGCAATTTTGTTGGTGTGTGTTAAAGCAGAATTTGGTCTCAAAGTTTGTAAGTATATACCTTGCAAATTGACATGGTATGGAGTAATCAGTGCTTTTTTCCTGTTAACATAACTGTATGGCAAATACTTTTGATGGGGAAAGGTAGAATTGTTGTCTTCCAATTGTACAGTAAAATGAGAAAGTAAATAAATTACTTGATATGTAGAAGCAGCGTAAAAAATAACATCTTGCCAAGGACACCACTAGAGAAGTTTTATACTCATCAGTTCCTACTTTTCTTTCATAGAAAAATGTCATGTTTTCTACAACAGGAGGCGGAAACTCAATTCCTGACTGCAAAGCTCCACCAGATGTGAGACTGGACAAGAAGGGGTGACACTGAATATTGACTGGGACAGTGGTGACCACTGAACTAATGAAACACTGGTGGGAGTGAAAAAAAACAACCATGAATCTAAGCATCTCTACATACAAGTTTCCCAGTTTCAAGATCTAAATGGTAGGATGAGGACAACGGTCACTGTATGCACAAGATAGGAGAGGAAACCAGGAACTGGATGGTCCTGCTGAGGCACCTTGGTGTGTCCTCCTGAGAGGCCACCATGTTTCCCACTCAAATCACATTGCGGTCCTTGCCAACACCTTGCTGACACACCCATTCTACCTCAGTGTTTCTCACTTAAACCCTGTCACTACCCCCTTAGAGTCATGCCAGTGCTTTCACTCAAACCCCAGTGCCGTGGTACCCCAGTGTTCCCCACTCAAGGGTGGGGCTCCTGTCTCCCCACCAAGGATGGAGCTCCAGTCTCTCCATCCTCTGTGAGGGCAGGGACTGTGCCTCCTCGGTGCCCCCAGCATCCTGTCCATGACCCATAGCAGGCCTCAGTGCCACAGTGCTGGGGCACCCCCTCTTAGTGACACCCCCGGGCACCCGTCTGTGCCATCACCATGTTGTTAATTCCTCATAAGTAAGGAGATTTTATGTTGGAATCATGTTATTAAGTTGTAAATGCAAATAGTAGAACATTTATTTATTCTTCCCTTATTCTTATTTCTTAATTTATTTTGCACAGGAGCTAAAATAAGTGAATTCTACAGGGAAAGGCCCTTCATGACAGGTACCAAATCTGCTCGCAGAATGGGCCAGGGTCAGCTCTTGTGGTAAGAAACTATGAAATATTTTGCACATTGATTTAGGTCTTTCCTGTTCCTTGCCTGTACTTGTTCCAAGTGTGAAGTCACTAGAGTTCAGAGAGCCTTGTGGCGGCCAAAGATCTTCCTCACATCTCCTGAACAGCTATAAAAATGGCACCATTTTGAAAAAGTGATCAGATTTTTTTTTTTTTAACATGGAAAAGCAGCAAGAATTTCCTTCTTCTCAGAAGCAGCTGAACCATCTGAGCTGAGATTTCCCTCCCCCAAAACTCTATGCTTGAGACAGATGCTTGAGTGGAGAAGTTTAGTTTAAATAATTGCTGTTTAGCAAAAGCATACACTATCAGGGAAAAAAAAACCAAAACCAACAAACCCAAAACAAAACACCATCACAGCACTTATCATGTCTGGTAATTTTGGTAAAGGGTGATAATACTAGGCCAGCACTTAAGCACTTTCTGAACAGATGACATTGTCTCTCTGTATGTCTTGATGGCTAAGTGTTAGATAGATGAGGGAGAGGACAGGACAAGATGTAGTGTCATTGTGTGGAAAATCAGCTGGAGATCAGGCAAGTCCCGGTCTCCGAGTACTTATTTTTATTGTGTTCAGAAGAGAAAGATAATAGTGGGCAACAATTCACAGTTTGCTGAAGTGTTTAATTCAAGGTTTCTTAAAAAACCCTTAAGGTTTGTTACACCTTTTTTTGGTTTGGTTTTTTTTTTTTTTTTCATTCTGCAGTCTGCCACAAAGGCTATGTTGCTGAATTCCAGTCTCCCATTGGCAGGAGTACACCATATAAGTTAGTCTAAATCACCCATTAATGCCTCTAAGGGTAATGACCACAGCCCACTGAAAACATACATGTAGCAACATATGCCATGTGAAATTTCACTGGTTTTATCACCTTTCCTCTGAGTTTCTGCCATTTTCATTTTTTCTTGTAGCTGCATTATAGGTGCATAGGCTGATCTGCAGCACTGTAGTTTTGAAACTTCACCATTTCTCTGATACTTGCTTGGTTTCTGCATTATGTCATTGCCAACAGAATGCTTCCTGCTCTTGCTCTTATGTACCATAAATGATGGCGATGAAAGTATGTGTGCAATTACTAAGCGCACTAGAGGAGGGAATTGGATGCCCTTAACTTCGCTTTCTTGTTTTGTTATCTTCTTAGGTGCAACTACTATACACAGAAAATTAAGACAGTTTTTCAGTGAGGCTATGGAAAAATATTCATATCAACCACTCTAACAGAAGAAAAGAATGGTGTTTCACTAGAGGCTAGTTAGCATGAAGCATCATCAGTGGCAACTCAGCACATTTTGACTGGAAGGTCTCAGCAGAAAACTTATTAGCAGATTTGTGCATGGTGTTTCAGTGAGCAGTACAGCACAAAACAAGAACAGTGTATGTTATTCCTAACAATAACACTAAGAAGACAAGATGACTTAGATGATACGCTTTGAAAAACAGAGAAAATAGCCATTACCTGGTAAAAGACCTTGTAATTTTCTGCTACATGACCCTTTTTGCACTAAGACTGAATTGCTACATGCTCATCTTTGAAAGCTGGGGGATAGCCAAGAAATTCCCTACTGAGAAATACTGTGCAGGTGAACAAACATGTGAAAAATCTATGATGCATTTAAGCACTAGTAAAAAAGCATATATATATATATATATATATATGTATACATATATATGGAAATTACATGTTGGTACATGCTGTAACTTTTTACATCTTGCATGTGATGTGGCATATTTCCTCCTTGTTACAACTTGTGTTGTGCCACATGCATGTTAATATAAAGACAGAATGACAAAGAAAGCTTTTAGTGACATGTGTTAAGTTCTGCTGGGTTGGAACCCACTATTCCCAAGGCAAGAGATAGCCCTGTTCTCTTTGTCTGGCTCAGCATCATTCTCCTTCTCTACATCAGTTCTCCATAGCAATAATAGCCCAAGATATAGGGCTAGTATATGTTTGTGCATATCTGCACATAAACACTCATGCTTACATGGGACAGGGTTAGTATATGACTCAAAAATAATCTTGGGTCCACAAGTTTAGATATAAACTTCACACTTCAGTGCATGTTCTTCCTGACTGTATTAACACTCCTATGTTCTCTTGAAATAATAAAGGAAACTGGGGACTTTTGCAGGTTAGAAAACACTAGAATATCAGAAACTCTTCTGCTGACTGATACTAATACCATCCTTCCCATATTCATTGGCTATTGGGTTTCTCAGGCAGAAGAAATAGTGCACTTGTACCACACATGGGATTTATTAGAGGAGCAGTGTAGGGACTGTGGCAGCAGTAGGAACAATAATGGGAAATTCATATTGCACCAATTCTTTGGCCTTAGAAGCCTCACTTGCAACTGGTATAGGTTATTTTAAACAATGTAAAAATAATCTTCATCATAGCTTAAATGATTTTTGTAAGTCATCACACACTTGATAACTTGAATAAAATTATGTGGGCTATCTTCATGGTACTTTTAATAGAACTTCCTCTCCAAAGCAATACTTAGTGTTTTATCTTCTAGTACAAGCAATAGAGTCACATTAAACAGAGAACATGTTGTTCTCCTCTGTGATGATATACTCTGAAAATAGATGTTAGCCTTTGTGCTTGGAAAACATGTGATTTCACTTGATTTCATTCAAAGTGATGTGGTTTAACCCAGCAGGAAGATAAACATCGCACAGCTGATTGCTCTCTGGGGTGGGGGAGAAAATTGGAAAAAAGGTAAAACTCATGGGTTGAAATAAAGACAGTTTAATAGGACAGAAAAGAAAGGGAAAATAATACTAATAATAAAGAATATACAAAACAAGTGATGCACAATGCAATTGCTCACCATCTGCTAACCAATGCCCAGCCACACCACAAGCAGTGGGTGGCTACCCCCCAGCCAACTCCCCCCAGTTTTATTGGTTAGCATGACATCATATGGTATGGAATATCCCTTTAGCTAGTTTGGGTTAGTTGTTCTGTTTGTGTCCCCTCCCAGCTTCTTGTGCACCCCCAGCCTCCTCGCTGACAGGGCATATGAGAAGCTGAAAAGTCCCTGACAGTGTAAGCGCTGCTCAGCAACAATTAAAACTTCAGTGTGTTATCAACATTATTCTCATCCTAAATCCAAAACACAGCACTATAGCAGCTACTAGGAAGAAAATTCCTAGTAATTTCCCAACTAGAAATTCCCATTTTCCTATATATTCCTATTCCCTATCTAGAAATTCCTAGAAATCCCAATTCCTAGAAATTTCCTAACTGAAACCAGGACACAAAGCTCAGTACGCTGTAGGAAAAGCTTGACATCTTTGCTTGGAAATGGGCTAAGTTGCAAGAGCAACCTTTACTTGGCCTTGCACCATGGTGCCAACATGCTTAAACAAATAGAAATACTGCATAGCAAAAGAGGTATAAGAAGAATAAAATAAACAGTTTGATATGATAAATGATAGCACTTATGTGCATTGACATATCATAGAATCATAGAATATCAGGGTTGGAAAGGATCATCTGGTTCAACCTTTCTTGGCAAAAGCATGGTCTAGACGAGATGGCCCAGTAACATCTCCAGTCAAATCCTAGATGTATCCAATGATGGGGAGTCCACCACTTCCCTGGAGAGATTATTCCAATGGCTGATTGTTCTCATTGTGAAAAATTTTCCTTTTGTGTCCCATCAGAATCTCTTCAGGAGTAACTTGTACCCATTACCCCTCATCTTTTTCCTTGTAAAAAGGGAGTCATCATCTTCATTGAGGCCACCCTTTAAATAGTGGAACATGGTAATAAGGTGTCCCCTAAGCCTTCTCTTCCCAAGGCTGAACAAACTGATTTCACTCAGACTTTTCTCGCATGGCAGGCTTCCCTGTCCCTTGATCATTGTTGTGGCCCTTCTCTGTCCACATCTTTTTTGTATAGTGGGGATCAAAACTGAACTCATTATTCCTGGTGTGGCCTGACAAGCGTGGAATAATGGCGTCTTTATCTCTGCTGATAGTGCCCTTGTTGAGCAACCTGGCATCCTGCTGGCTTTCTTTGCTGTTGCAGAATACTGTTCACTCATATGGAGTTTGTTGTCCACCAGGACCCTCAGATCCCTTTCCAGAGCTTCTCCCCAGCTGTGTAAATCCCAGCCTGTGCTGCACTCCTGGATTATGTTTTCCCAGGTGCAAGACCTTACACTTGTTCTTGCTGAACTTCATAAAGTTCTTGTTAGCCCACTCTTCCAGCCTATCCGTGTCTTCCTGCAGGGTGGCTGTCCCTTCTGAAGTGTCCACTTCCCCACTCAGTTTGGTACCATCGGCAAACTTCATCAGGGTATGTCGGGGTAGGCAGCGGGTCTGCTAAACGCCTGGCAGAGCAGATGGAATTTAACCTCAGCCAGATCATCCCGTACCCGTGAGGAGTCTGCATGCAGGAGGACATACCACAGATAAGGAGCAAGGACAGTGAACATCTGCTGGAAGAAACATGAAACTGTTGAACGTAGATAAGGAACTGTGTTAATCATGTTCAGAAGTAAAACTTTAAGAAAGCTATCCAATCATGTACCGTTGCTATGGGTGTACCGTTGCTATGGGTTTAGCCAATTATGTTAGAGCTTGCGGTAGTTGTAAAAGATATATAAGGTATGTAGAAAAACAATAAACAGACTTCTTCTTTTACTCTTAACTTAACTGTCAATTGTCGCATGACCGTCTCTACCGCGACAATTGGTGACCCCGACGTGATACAAGTGGAACATAGGGGATTTTTTTTTTTAAGAGCTGCAGGGCGAGGTGCAGCGGAGACGGAGACCGGTGAAGCTGAGAGCAGAGGGGATTCTGCCTGGTCCGGACCTGACATTTTGACACCTGCGTACAAGGTGAGCCACCGGGGAAAACTTATTAAGTTATAATATGGGGCAGGAACTAAATAAAGAGGAGACAATTTTGTCTGCCTGGAAAGCCCCTTTAAAAAGAGAAAGGGGTAAAACCCCAGAACAAAGCCTGAAGAAAATGTTGATATGGAATAAGACGCAAGGCTTTGAAGCTAATGTAACCACTGCATTCAGTGTGACTGTATGGCAGAGAATAGGCGAAAAGCTATGGGATGAAGTTTCAAAAGGACAGAAAGAAGCGTGTGAGCTAGCAACTACATGGCGTGTGCTAACTGAGACCCTGAAGGAGTGGAAAAAGGAACATGACGCTGAAAGAAAGAAAGAATCCACTCCTGCCTCTAGTTCGTTTGGTCCTGGGCTCAGTTATGATGATCCCACACTGTCTACAGTGGCGGGACGAAAACCATTGACAGGAAAAAGCAGGAGGCATTCTCGTCCACCTCCACCTCCCCCTGTGCCGATACAGGAAGACCCTGGAGGGGCTTCTCCCTCGCAGGATTCTGATATGGCAAACGTAACACCATCAGCTCCTCCAGAGGAGCCAGCAGTACGTAGTGAGTCTGACAGAGACTCTGAGGGCGGTGAACCCAACACTAAAGAACTTACTGACAATTTGCGAGCATTGAATCTGGCTGATAAACAGACAGAACAAAAAGCTACGCCATGTACGCTCCCTCCAGATGCTGTGACTGTCCTTCCCAGGTCCCCAGAGCAGTTTTGGGAGGGTGAGAGTGATAATGAGAGTGATGAAGAAGGAGAATTAAGTGCCGCTATGCAAACTTTGCACCGCTCTGATAAACCTACATCAAAAAGAGCTGGGGGAGCCCGTCCTAAACATAGACCATGGTTGAGGGCGAGGGGATTGTACGAGGACTCTGATGAGGAAGCCCAAGATGAGTTGTTTCCTCCACAAAGACCGAATGAGCAGAAAGTCCCTCAGGCAGTGCCCCCTCCACCTCCCATCGTGGAGCCCTCTGTTCCACCAGCTCCCTCTGATGAGGAAAAAGCCCTGTGTACTTTGTTTATCTGGTGCAAAAGGAATGCAGTCCCTGCTGATGCACGCTCTGCTTTTGATCTCGAAACATGGAAAGAGGCAGGGATCGCCTTATTCGAGGCGGCCGTAAGGAAGAATGCCATCACTGTGTCATTTTTAACTGCATGGCAACTGGTACATCAACCCCTGAAACAGTTAAAAAGTGATGGGACTGCCGCAGCAGCTGCAGCCGATGCCAGGTCACCTAGTGGGTCCGATTCTCGGATGGATCCTACAGTTGTAGCTGAAACACCTCCAGAAAAGCCACCAGCCCCACACGTCCACTATCTGCTGATGAGAATGGTATTTTCCTGTTATTAAAGAACTACAGAAAAGCATTAATGAGGATGGACTTAAAAAACTCATTTACAACAAGTATACTGGAAGCGATCGCTCACGGCTGTACTCAGCATTCCAGACCCCCCCCACCGCAGGGCCCCCCCCGAACCCCAAAAGCTGCAGTTTTTTCACAGCAGGTGCTGACACTGTGATGCACCGTCCCTTGTCTGTCAGCACCTCATCATCAACAAGCAATGGCTTTTTATATTTTTAATGGTGTTTTACTGTTTGTAGTGTTTGTCATTTTATGTTGTATGAGTGACAAGTGTAAGAGGCCTCTACATGTAGTTGTGTGATTGATTTGTGTGTGTGTGATTGATTTGCGTGTGAGGCGCAGCCCAGCTGCAGCTGCGCAGTGTGGAGTCCTCTGACCCGAAGTGGCCAGAGAGGAATGGAGAGCAGGGCAGGCTCTGTACTGGGGGGAGTGCAGGACGAGTGAACATTCCTTAGTGCAGAGCCCTAGTGCCCACCCGCTGGGTCACGGGGGCTGCCTGTTTATTCATGCTCAGTGTTTTAAGTGGCACAGGTGAAATACCTCTTCTAGTAGGAGGCAGTAATTCTGTGCTAATTGTTGTCTTGAATTTAGGTGTATACTCTGTGGGGAGAGTGCACCTCTGTACCATCTACCTGAGGAGAATATTGTAAGCTTGGGTAGCATTTTAAATTAATTGTGCATGTGAGCATTACTGATGCTGATTTTACTGGACAAATCTGTGCTATGATTTCTACTCCTTACCCACCAGTAACCATTCCAAAAATCACTTGCATTGCTCAACTTATACCTTTTTTAAGTTGTGTTCCTAAGACAGAAAAACAGTTGCGACATGATGGAGGAATCGACTCCACAGGACCTTCGCAAGTCTTTTAGTCACAGACTGTTTCATCATCAAGACCGCAGATGACCTGTACACTATGCAACAGAAGAGAACTGCCAGCGACAGTAACACTTACTGGACTTCTGGACACAGGAGCTGATGTAACTATTATATCTCATTATTCCTGGTCAACAGAAAATATGGATATGGGAGTAGTAGGACCCTGAGGGTCAACAGGTGACTGTCAAATCCCATATGATGACAGCCCCACCCCGAATCTGTGGGGAAGGGAATGCTTGTAAGGTGTGAAGATTACTACAGATTTTTAACGAGGGTCACTGTTCTGCAGGGCATTAAATGGCCTACACTGGAATTAACTTGATTAACAACTGAACCTGTATGAGTAGATCAGTGGCTCTTGCCAATTGAAAAGTTAAAGGCCCTGCAAGAATTGGTACAAGAACAGTTGGTTGCCGGACACATTGAACCCTCTCAGAGCCCCTGGAACACTCCTGTATTTGTAATCAAAAAGAAATCAGGTAAATGGAGGTTTTTACATGACCTGTGGCAAGTTAATACTGTTATGGCCACGATGAGGGCTCTGCAACCAAGTATGCCCTCACCTGCTATGATCCCTCACAACTGGGAAATTATAGTTATAGATTTAAAAGACTGTTTCTTTACAATACCATTAGCTTCTCAGGACAAAGAAAAATTTTGCATTCTCTGTGCCTTCTGTTAATCATGCAGAACCTGTACAAAGATATCACTGGAAGGTGTTGCCGCAGGGCATGAAAAACTCTCCAACAATATGCCAATGGTTTGTGGCACAAGCATTGTCACCTGTACGGGAAAAATTTCCCACCAGTTATTGTTATCATTATATGGATGACATTTTGTTGTCATCAAACAGCGAGGAGCAGTTGCGTGACATGGAGAATTTTACTAGAGAATCATTGCAACAATATGAATTGATTATTGCCCCTGAAAAAGTGCAAAAAACAGAGCCCTGGAAATATTTGGGGATGACAGTTAAGAACAAGCAGGTTATTCCCCAACCTGTAAAACTTGACCTCGAGGTTAAAACACTCAATGATGTGCAGAAATTAATGGGATCTTTGAATTGATCAGACCTTACCTCGGACTGACCAATTCACAGCTACAACCTTTGCTGGAATTGTTAAATAATTCCAATGATCCAACAGAACCCAGAACATTAAATAAAGAAGCATTAAATGCAATTCATATTGTGGAGCAATCCATACACAAAAAATTTGTTTCTCGAATAGATCTGTCTCAATTAGTACAATTCTTTGTACTGATTGACAAAACTGTGCCATTTGGTGCCTTGGTGCAGTGGAATCCTGAGTGGAATGACCCCTTACACATTTTAGAATGGATGTTTTTATCATTCAGACCACAGAAAATTTCTCCTTGATTATTTGAGTTAATTGCTGGTGTGATCATAAAAGCCAGAAAACGCTGTTTGGAGTTAACAGGCCATGATCCAGCTACGATTGTTTTACCTGTTCAGAACTGGTACTTTGAGTGGTGCCTTGCAAACAAGTATGAGTTACAAGCAGCCTTAGCAAACTTTCAGGAACAAGTGTCTTATTATCTTCCATCACACCCGCTACTAAAATTTGCTCAAGAAATGCCATTTGGTCAGAAGCACTTGAGCCAGCCAGAATCTGTTAAAGGCCTTACTGTAGTCATGGATGGATCAGGAAAAACTAGTAAAGCAGCAGTGGTGTGGTACGAGAATGATGTCTGGAATAACAAAGTTGTTTACCAAAGGGTTCTCCACAAATTGATGAACTACGTGCGATGACTCTTGTTTTTACTACCTTTCCTACTCCTATTAATATTGTAACTGATTCTGCTTATATGGCTAACTTAGTTTCCCGACTAGACAAAGTAGTCTTAATTTCATCAAACAATCAAATGTTATTTGAGGTTTTGATAGAACTCTGGACAAACATTCAGTTGCGCACAGAACCCTATTTTATCATGTACATACATAGTCATACCACCTTACCTGGATTTTATACAGAAGGTAATGCCAGAGCGGATGCTCTTGTCTCTGCAATGCATTTGAGTACTGTTCCTAATATGAAACAACAAGCTGTTCTATCACATCAATTTTTTCATCAAGGTTTTCGAGCTCTACGACAACAGTTTGGTTTGTCTCATTCTGAGGCTCGGTCTATTGTTGCTGCTAGTCCTGATTGTCAAGGAACTCATACTCCAGTGTACTTCAGTACTAATCCCAGACGTATTCAAGCTTTACAGATTTGGCAAACTGATGTTACTCATATACCTGAGTTTGGTCGACAGAAATATGTTCATGTTTCTGTTGATAATTATTCACATGCTTTGGTGGCAACAGCACATAATGGAGAAATAAGTAAGGATGTAATCCAACATTTACAGAAAGCTTTTTCTGTCCTTGGGGTGCCACGTCAAATTAAAACAGATAATGGTCCAGCATATGCCTCACAGAAAGTTCAAACATTTTTTAATTTATGGGGTGTTACTCATATTACAGGGATTCCCCATTCCCCAACAGGACAAGCAATTGTCGAGCGTGCATATGGCACGCTGAAGCAGCAGCTTCAAAAACAAAAAGGGGGAATGGTTGGGAAACCACCACAGGCGTGTTTAGATAAAGCAGTTTATATTCTTAATATTCTTCATTATGGGGATGTTGCTTCTACACCTCCTATATTGCAACAATTTTCCTCTCTTTTTTCAAAACAGAATTTGCAAAAGGGCATCAAAGTACATGTTAAAGGTTTAGTTACTGGCCAGTGGAGTGGACCACGTAAGTTATTAACCTGGGGAAGAGGTTATGCTTGTGTTTCCACAGGTCACGGCTCCCGATGGTTACCGGCAAGGTGTGTGCGACCACACCTGAGGCGTGAGAGGCAGCCAGCACTCAGGATCCAGCTGTGGGTGCTGTGAGTGCCCCTGTGCCGACAGTTTGTGATCTCTTCGACTGATCATTTAAGCAGAATGTCCGAGTGATGTTTGCTTCTGCAACAGAACAAACTACACTGCAATTGCCAATTCTTTTAAGAGAAAATGCTAACAGTAATTGTAACTCCTTAATGAAATATCTAGGCTTACTAGTCACTAGTGAAAGATGTAGTTTAGATGGAATGTAGTTATTAATAAGGATGAAATGCTATCAGAATGTGTGTTTTCAACTAACTTTGCTTAGCAATATCAAGAATTAAGAACTCAAGTAGAAACTCCTTTGGTTTTCCCCCTTGAGTGGTGGCCAGGCTCTGGGTGGAACCCAACAGGAAGATGAAATCAGATGTTTCTGCACAAAGAAAATTGCCAGTTATTTTGGCCTGTTGATTTAGAGGCTGGACTTGCTTGCAGCGATGCTGGATGCCTCACCTACGGATGGACGCATCGCGTAGGATTTCCAACTTTTGAGGAAAGGTACTCTAAATCCTCGCTGCAACCAGGTTTCCCCAGCAACTGCAGATCATTCTGAATTGATCCATAAGAGCATACAACAGTTAAAAGATGGTGCTAAGCGTTTGACAGAAGATGATGGTCTCGATTGGTTAACAAAGTTGTTTAAAGGATGGGGGTTATCGGGCTGGCTGATCTCTTTGATCAGAACCACTGGAATGATCCTGTTAGTTATCATAAGTGTGCTTTAATGTCATGTCTTTTCAGTCTTCTGCAAAGGGCCCTGCAGAAGGCTGCTCATGCAGTATTTGTAGCACAAACACAAAAAGGGGGAATTGTCGGGGTAGGCAGCGGGTCTGCTAAACGCCTGGCAGAGCAGATGGAATTTAACCTCAGCCAGATCATCCCGTACCCGTGAGGAGTCTGCATGCAGGAGGACATACCACAGATAAGGAGCAAGGACAGTGAACATCTGCTGGAAGAAACATGAAACTGTTGAACGTAGATAAGGAACTGTGTTAATCATGTTCAGAAGTAAAACTTTAAGAAAGCTATCCAATCATGTACCGTTGCTATGGGTGTACCGTTGCTATGGGTTTAGCCAATTATGTTAGAGCTTGCGGTAGTTGTAAAAGATATATAAGGTATGTAGAAAAACAATAAACAGACTTCTTCTTTTACTCTTAACTTAACTGTCAATTGTCGCATGACCGTCTCTACCGCGACAAGGGTACACTTGATTGCATCACCCAGATCACTATTGAAGATATTAAACAGCATTGGGCCCAATATCGTACCTTGGGGGATCCCACTTGTGACAGGTTGGCATTCTGAAAAGGAGCTATTTACCACCACCCTCTGGGTGTGGCCTGTCACCCAGATCCCCACCCACCGCACAGACCACTTGTCTAGACCATAATGCATCGGTTTCTCTGTGAGGAGGCTGTGGGAAACCAAAAGTCTTGGAGACACCCAGGTAGACAATGCCTACCACTCGCCCCACATCAACCAAGCAGGTTACTTTGTTGTAGAAGGTGATCAGGTTTGTCAAGCATGATTTGCCCTTGGTGAATCCGTGTTGGCTTTTCCCAATAAAGTACTTCATGACTGAGCACATGATGGGTAGCAGCCTTGCCTTCAGCAGACTTGCAGGGCCCTGCCACGCTCCATATCTGCTGTGCTACACCATGTACTTACCCTGGCAGCGGGGGGGAAAGCACCAAGCAGCGCTCTGTTGTAGATTGTGCAGAGCGATCGAGCTGGTCAGCAAGGCTTCTCCAAGTAGTTTTTGGCTGAAACTGCCGTTTTGGTTCAGTCTTTTTCTGCAAAAAGTGACACCAGTTTGGACAAAATTTCCCACAAATAACAACAAAGAAATTAGAAATGGAACTTCATTGAATGAAAGTGTATTTGTTTTAGAAAACTTGAGAAATTATAGCAAACTGAATTTCATTACATTCTTTAATTCATGACATAGAACTGCATGATGTGGTATAATTTTTATGAAGATGTTTGGAACAGTAGTAAGTAATGTTATGGTATGAAACATTATTATAATGAAAGCAGTACATCAAAGCTGCAATGCTTATTTTAAAAATGTTGGGGGTTGTTTTAGTTAACTAGCTAGGTGAAAGTATGTCATATTTTTTATGAAAAAGGTACTTTGAAAATCGGCTTTTCTTCCATTTCTAAAGAAACTGAGAATATGAAAAAGTTTCATGAACTAAAAATTCTGTTTTAACCAGTTCTGATACCAATAGTCCTTAGAAAAAGAGCATTCATTAATAACTATATAGAAAGGTGAAATTAAGGTCCACAATATTCTGTTTAAAATATTATCCTTATTTGAAAGCGAAGGATGGTAAGGCAAGTAAAATCTTATTTTATTCAACAAACATGAGCATTCCTTGTGATTTCACCTGAAATGCTAGAAGAAATTTAGTGCAAATAGTTCAGGAAACATGAAGTTCCTAGGTAATGCAGTGATATGACATCTTACTGGCTCACGATTTTACAATAATTACACTAATTGATGCTTCCTTTAACTGTAAGAGTTTATTTCTAGCATTAATTATTATTCTTAAAGAAAAATGTTCTTCCTAAAGAAAAGGCAGTCCACATTTCTATATGAACACAAAAGACATTCATGGGATGCTAGTTTGTGTGAAAATGATTATTTCTGTTAGAACATTTTTTAAAAAAAACATGTCAGTGGGAAGAATGGTTTCCATTTTATTATCCTAGCTTTCGTGACATTTCTTTTAAATGTCTCGCATCATATATTAATGGATTTCCTTATAACATCTCTGAAGCTAAGGACAGAATATTTATTTTGCTGTAATTCCCATCAGGACTTCAGAGGAAATGTTTTTCCTATAAGCACTGAGTGTATAGTCTGATAATGTACTTGAGAGTTTGAACAAACCAAAAAAAAAAAAAAAAAAAAAAAAAAGAAAAATATTTAAATCTTTGTAGAGGCAATACAAGTTGTTGCAGGTATTTCAAATTATAGACAAGATTAAATTAACAGCTGTAAACCATATGAGATTACTCCAATTTTGAATGAGAACTGTGCTCTTATAAAACTGGCTCCTCTATAAAAGCTCATTTCTTTCCTTGAACATCTGTAGAAGACAGTATCATCCGTGCATGCTTTATATCTCAAGCGCTTTTCAACTCACATAGTGGTGGAGTTAACCTAGAATGTTAATTCCGTACTGTAAAGTTTTTTCAAACCAATTTTTTTTAAAATTCAAAAATCATAACTGTCAAAGACAAGGCAGCCAATGCTATCAGAGAAATAGCTGTTATGTGCACTCTGTTAAATAGTACATACTAGGGCTTTTTTTCTTGCTGATTTGATCTGTAATATGTGGAACATACCAACAGAAATAATCAAAAATGTATCAGGGATATGATTTAGGAATTACTTTGCAGACTTGGTATAGAGAATGGAAAAAAGGATTCAGTATCAGGTAAATTTGCACTAAGCAGCAACAAGGGCAAAATTCTGTTTTGGTGCCCATGGATATATTTGGTGAAAAAAATGAATGATTTTCAGCAAAGCTTCTAGTGTTCCTTGTACCACTGAAGCTACTAAAAAGGTTGCCCTAATTTCAGTGCATTAAGAACTGAAGGCAAAGTGCTGGTCTTGACACTTAATGTCCCCCCACAGGCAGACATCAGCAAACCATGAAAATATGGACCATATCCTCATGACAAGAAAGAGTCTTAGCGTAGGAGGTTGCACAAGCTGTTTTTTCCATGAACACTTCTAAGAAGCAATGTACAGCATAATCCACCCAGCACACTCTCATTGGGAAATTGCATGGTCTCAAAGTAGAGAATGGCATTATCCTTATACATTTTGCATTCCTTTTATAGACATATAAAGAAAGCTTATGTCTAGAAACTGTTTAAGCCTCTACTAAAGTCTCTATTAAATTATATGATTCGTAGAACAAATTCATACAGTTTCTACTTCAAATCTTCAAAGGTTTTGTTCCAAGCATTTTCTTTATAGGACCTTTATAAAATGTCTTGCTAAGATGCACTACCTGTGCTTTCCTGCAACGTAATTCCTCATAAACTTGCCACATCTCTCTGTCATTCCCTTCTAGTCTTCATTTGTATTTGCTTCTTGGTAGAAAGCAAGTAGTGAAGATCCCATCTGTCTTTGAAAGTGATACAGCAAAATGTTCACAGCTAAAATACATTAGAAATACCTTTCCAGAAAGAAATGTTTTGTCTGTGAGCATTGACAATAAACTGTCTTCACTCACATATTGCATACATGTACTTGAAGAATGTTTGAAGAATCTCACATGGATAAAAAATGAGTCAGGTTTCAAAGTGGCATAGACAAAAGAGCAGGAGGAAGTACAGCCTGACACTTGCATTGCTTTGTCTTTTGAAGACACAGGCTACCTTAGGCAAAACCTTTAGATATACAAGGCATCTGTCAGACCTGTAACTGTTCACGCAGCCTGTTGACCTGTACTTAGGCACTTGACCCAGCTCTGATTTCAAGAGAAAATAAAGCAGGCATGTTGCTGTGGGAATTTTGAGATTAAAATCAGAGTTGACTCAAAAGTGATTAAAGTGATTGTGGTTTAAAAAAAAAAAACAACAAACAACCCATGCCATGTATAATTACATGCTTCATCCTTTGTTTCAAAGGCTTGGAGAATGGTCCAGTATAGACAGAAGCACAGCTTTCGTGTGAATGTCTAAACGAGAAACCTGCAGTTTGTTGAAACTAAGCTCCTTCAGAATAGTTCTGTCAATTAAACAGTACCAATAACTTTTGGTTATAATTCAGGATTATTTTCCTGAATTTCTAGAAAGCAAGCTGGCTAAAAGTCCTGAAAGTCACTGTCTCTTCCATTTAGGATATTTCACTCTTTGTGGTTTAAAAGACAACATTACAGTTCCTGCTAGAATTTTCCTCTCCCTCTCCTACTCAGAGTGCTTTCACTGCTCCTGAAGTAGGTTTTAGAAAGA